GTTATTGTGGGAACAACTTCATGAGAATATGCTTTGGTCTCAAGGGAAGTATTTATATACACCACATGCAAAGAGGGGGAGGAAACAGAAGCTGCAGCCTCCGAAAGATAATCCATATACGCAGGACTGGCTGCAGCATCAGCCAAGGAGCAACCAATGCGTTCATTGGACATCCTATACACCCCTACCTGAAAAATGGTACACATTAAATCTTACACCACCAAGTAGAAACAGCTGCATTAAACATATAAAAAACAAGCAACTGGTAAATTTATGAAAAAATAGAGATGGTTACGTTAGTGTAAAATACTAGCTTATCTATTATTCCAACCGCTTCTATGATTTAGAGCATGTTTGGCTGTGCAAAAAAGTAAGTTTTGTTAGTAAAGATTAAAGAAATAATTTGTAAAGTCACGTGTGACAAAATGATTGAAAAGCAAGTCTAACTTAGTTTTGAGCACAGCCAAACATGCTGACAATCACTCCTCATTAAAAAAATAAATAAAAATACACTCTCTCCCCTATAAAGAAATGAAGCTTTTGACCATAAACTGACCTTTGGCTACAATGTAATAGTGGAAGAAGCAGCAAAAGTAAGAAATAAAAAGGAGGCATTTTGAAGTTAAGATGTCCTTCAACTCTGTTTTGAAAATATGGGTCATTAAAATAATGGCGAACACTACTCCAATATAATTTCAATTATACTAACTAGTAAGCAAATTCCTTGATAGAGCAGTGGTGAGCAATCATGTGACAGTTCCATAAGTTGACTCATTCATCAATATCACTTCTGTTAGCACAATTACATGTAGTAAATAACAAACTGTTATTTTTCTTTGGTCAATTATAAGTCACTTAGTAAATACCAAAAAGGTGGTACCTCTCATTTAGGTCGGACTAGTTCCTAACCCCGAACATTTTCAGACATAAAATCTACACCTAGAACAGTGATGAATTTGCATCCAGCTTTAGCCATTTTGACAGCTGAATCTGCCATAACTAATGAATCAGATATATGGATATGAGGCCAGAGCTTCTGTGCAGCAGTTAGAACTCCTTGGACCTCAGGGTCCATGTAGAAATGTGCAACTACACCAATTTTCTTCTCCTCAAGCAGATTTGCAAGCTCTTCAACTTTTACTTCGTTAGGGGACAAAAATCTCGCCTGCAATTACACTAAAATGGAACTTAATAGATAATAAGATTTACTTTACCCCACAAGCATGCTAACAATACCATGACATATTGTATTACTGTTCCAAGTCCACGCTAATTTTCTCATACACCGTATGCCATCTTCCTAAGCTCATAACAGCTCCCCTTTCAACCTAAATGTGTCTAACTTTTTCAACTTAAAGAGAGTGAAAATATCTAAACTTCTCAGTTACTATGATAGTCAATTATCATTTGGAATTTCCATGTAAGTTGTCAACCATGTTCCACTTAAACTTGTTCGTCAAAGAATTATGCCTTGAAGGCTGCTTCTTACAATAAAACACCAATCAGAAACAATCCCAAGAATTCCTAAATTATCATACACTCTGCATCACCACAATACATCATTACGACAAAAAGACAAACAGTAAAAATGGAAAATTTAAACATAAATATTAAAAAGGATAAAATAAAAGGTCCACCTGAGCTTCAGCGTAGCTTCCTTTGGCTTGAATCCCATCAGCATCCACAATCAGAGACGGGAATGGCTCACCACGTGGCCTCCCCTCGCGCTCAGCAACCAATGCTTTGGTCCTCTTCTGCAAACTAACCAACACATTGTGCCAAGTATTCGCCCTACTTTTCATAGAAGAAACCCTTTTTCCATTCAATCCCATCACATTAATTGCCTCCAAATCCTCTGTTTTCAGTGCCAACACCTCCCCCGGTTCGGCTCCATCGAGCAACCAAACCAAGCACGCACAAAAACCTTTAGTTATTTCCGAATCACTATCAGCCAAGAACCTCACTTTGTTATCATTACCGAGTGATACATGTAGCCATACCTGTGCAGTGCACCCTGGCACACGATTTTCAGTGAATTTTAATGATTGTTCGAAAGGAGGTAAAAGATTTCCATACTGTAATAACCTTTTGACACGATCTACAGGTTCGAGCAGTGACTCGAATTCTTGGATGAGAAGATGCAGCCTTGCCTCGGTGGCGGTTCCGGTGCCTGTGGCAGCCTCTGCAGTGGCTAGATTATCACTACCCGGGTGATGCGATATAACGGCAGAGCAAGAAAAGGGCGTTATAGAGGTTGGTTTCACTGTAAAACAAGAATTAAAACATGGGTTTCGTGTATAAATGCATCTGATAACAGGGTTCCTCACCGGATTAGATAAATGGTTGAATTTAGGTTTCGGAGAATTGTAAAACAAAGAAGAAGACACAGCTCTCATGACTAATGTTCTTGAGTCCATATGGCCACAAAAAAATTGTTCTTTCGTATAATCTAGTGAGTATTTTTGTTCGACTCGTATATCAAGTGCAGAAAGAGAAAAACACGGGATTCACTGTGTGTTGTGTGTGAGAGAGAGGGAGGGAGGAGGAGGGAGAGGAAGGACAGTGGTGGAGAAAAGGGATTCAACGGCTGAAGAGAGCGCTGGAATATATATGCAGAGGAAAATGGCAAGAAAAGGGGGCCTTTGGAAAAGAGCAATAAAGGTCCAAAAAAGAATGGTGATAAATATATCGTGAATAGAATACGAGTATTTCTTTTAAGATGGTAGAATTATTAAATTTTGCTTTAGAAAATAGATCTCAATAAATTCGCATTAAAAATTGAATAATGCTACATAACACAAGTGTCTTCATTTTACATATTCAATTAAATGAGTCATAAATTTATCATTTAGTACTATATAATTGTCACATAGACTGATACTTAACACCAATGATGATGAATAATGTTACTCTTAAAAATATGGATTCAAAATCTAGATACGTTATCTTGAATTAGAGAAATAATATGGTGGGGCGATCTTATATACATTTCACTTTTAGGAAAAAAATTATTTTACACATTAAATATGTGTTTGGTGTAGATCGTACGATTTTAATTTGAAGAAATACTTCAGTGGGATAATTTTATATACACACGTGATGGGAGGACCGTTCACTCAAATTAGGGTTATGTCATTCGTATATCAATTGTGTACACTTATGTAAAACTTGATGTGTTGTCAAAAAATAAGTTGATGAAAAAAAAAATTAAACTATCAAATGACATGTGGCATGATGTAAACAAAGATATAGACCATGATGTATACCAAACATGATTTCTCAAATTATGATATATCAAAATCTAATTCTTTCAATTCATGATTTTAGGAACGTGAATGGTTATGACAACCCACTCTCTTTGTCTCTTAACTACTCACGATCGAAGTGTCGTGATTTGAATAATTTTGAATTCAATGTATCACGATTTGAGTAAACAATCAGCTCATGTGTGCATATAGTAATGTCTCACTCAAGCTTTTCTTAGTTACCCTCTTGACTGTCCTACCACTAAAAATTTTGATATTTTACCACAGTTTTGAGGCGTCAAAATTTTAGTAAAAGTCAAATGGAGACAATAAATTTGAAGTCATCTTTTAAAATGATTCATAATTCAGTAATACTATTTAACGCCACTAATGTTAAAACACTAATTTAAGTGGTACTAATGTTATATTAAATGATAAATACAATTAAATGAGTCACTTGATTTCATATTTTATTTGGCATGAGATAAGCGGAGTAAAGGCAAGAAATTAGAAAGTAATTATGGAATTTGGATATACGTAGGCAGGAACATGTACAAGGGCTCGTAGCCCCCCTCTCTTCGCCACGTCTATTTATTTCTCGTGCTTTGTAAAAATGCAAGTCAGCCCCTCTCTCTTCGCCACGTCTATTTATTTCTCTTGCTTCGTAAAAATGCAGAAGTCTCCTTTTTTTTTTTTTTTTTAATAGATAGAGCCATGATACAGTCCTGAGTATTTTGAAAAAAAGTAGAAAAATTTCTACAGTTACATTTGCAGGCGGGACCCACGCGTGAGAGGACCAGTCAAAAGCGGCTGCTGAAACAGTGAAAAAACGGTCACAATTTTTCTACTTGGAGGCTAACTAGATATACCAAAGGGAGGCTTATTACGGATCAATTGATCAACATCCAGTGTTAGGAATAATAGGATGAGAGTAGGGATGTCAATATAATTCGTCGGGTCGGGTGGTCCGCGGTTCAGCTCGAAAAAAGCTCGAGTCAGGCCGATTTGTGGCTCGGTGGGACCGAACCAAGGCTTGGGCCAAGCCCTATTTTGGGGCGTTGGCTCGAGTCGACCCGTGAACCTAAAAAAAAATTTACAAAACTAAAAAAAGAAAAAAAAAAAAAGCTTATAGCTGCCTACAACTTTTAAAAAAAAAAAAAATTCTTTTAATTTTAGCTGTAATATTTTTTCATTTGTTAATATTTAGTTATTATTTATAATATGTATAAATTGTACAAATTTTAAATTCTTTAAAAAAATGTAGATTTGTCACGAATTAGAAAAAAATCGAGCCGGCTCGCTAAGGCCCAAGCCGAAAGTTCGGGTCGAGCCTAAATTTGTTGGCCGAGCTTTTGCTCAGCTCGACTCGAGGCAGCTTTTAGGGTGGGCGGGTGGTGTAATAATTTTAAAATTTAAAATTTTTATTATGATGTTAGTAAAATGGCACAATATTTATGAAAAACAGAAATAGAAGTAAAAATAATAATTAACTCCTATTTAACTTAATCTACCAAGACATTTTATTAGAGCAAAGGAAATGATTCATTATGCTCCTTCGAAACTAATTTCAATATGTGGTACTTAATTATTTTTTTTATGAATTATTTCTTTATTAGCCCTTGTTTGGTTCCCATTATTTCTAAAATACATATTTTTCTCTATTATTTTCAACCACATATTTTTTATACGAAATTATATGCAAAATCAAAATTTTTTCTTATTTACTAACCACGCGTTCTCGATTAAAATACCATTCCAAAATGTATTTTTATAAAAAATGGGGTTCAAATAGGCTCTTAAGTAGGCATTTGATTTGGTATGATATGCAATTATATAAGCTACTAAAGCCAAGAATAATGTGACTGATTAATTATAATTTTTTTAAGATAATTGTTTTAAATAGTATCACACCTTTAAATAATGTAAGTGAAAAGAGGAAAAAGTATCTTGCCTTAAATATTATTTTCTTGATTCCAAAAAATCTTGGATATGGAAAATTGTATTCTTTTGAAGTTTGACATGTACATCTTGATAGCTTTGATACCTATTAAATAAGATTTGTTAAAAACATATTGAGTATGAATGTTTAATTAGTGAGTTTGCTTCTAAAAATGCGAGAAGAAATATTTTTTACATGACTTGTTGCATTTCAATGTTTACACGTGGCATTTGATGTATTTGATTTCAAAATCAAGATTTACTCATATGAAGTTGCACAAAGAGCTTAGTGGCTTGGATATTTTTTGTTGATGACATGTGAATTTGATTTTTCTTATTCGCGATTCTAATATCATATTTTTGTAATGAAATAATATTATTGGAATTTTTTTTGTTGATATATATTTTTTAATTACATGAAAGAGGACCCATTTTAAAACGTCGCATAAGGCACCCAAAATTTTAGGGCCAACGTTAAATAGGATATTTTTATGTTCGTAGCATGGCAGGAATCAATTAAACAAATTTATAATGTCACTATATTAACATATGAAAGTTTATCAATTAAACAAATTTCATATGTGATAAAATATTTTTTACATGACTTGTTTGCTTCTAATCAACTTTTTTCAAAATCTATTAAAAATTTAATTTTAATCTCTACCAAACATGGGCTAAATTTTCCAATCACAAGTGATGTTGCATTATATTCTATTATATTACTAATGTGGAAAGACAACTACAACAAATTTATAATGTCCCAAGCGAGTTTTAAAAGTTGTCTTTTAAATTTCTTTTCTCGAACACCTTGATTTGATGATGACAAGATCTCTCATATACATGCCTTCAATTTACGCTAACTCAATTTGATCAAATGAAGAATCAAGTTGGTCAAAGAATAGTCAATATACATGTATACCATTACGTAAACTCGACCTAATCAAATGAAGAATCGAGTTGAGTAGTCAATGTTTTAAGAATATAAAAAACACTATGCATCAACTATAGTTGCTAATTGGATTTATTTTATTTGACTTCTTGCCATGTGAACATGACACTATAGATTAGTTATACTAAGCATACATCCTTTATAGATATTAGTCATAGTTGAACGTACGTTGTACATTATTCTGAAATACTTTATAAGTATTTTGAAAATAATATTTGACCATTCATTTACCATTTTGATCTAAATATGAAAGAAATGCAAGTCCCTGAAAATAAAATGTTAATTATTATAAATGCACATAAATAATGAAATGAATAATTGAGTGTGAGTATTAGAATCATAACTAAATACATAAATGAATATAAAATGACAAATACGAACAATTTTTTCTCTTAAATTTCTATTTTAAATTTTATTTTCTTTAGTTCTTTTGAGATTTATCAAATCTTCCAAATAAATTAGTATCAAATATTACTTTTATAGTATTTATAAAATATTTTAGAATAACGTTCAATAAGCGTTCAACTTTGACTGAAATAATTAAATTATAGTAGTGTTGAAATCATTCAAAAAATAATTCTCATGATATTTAATAAATTATAGATTTATATTCAAAAGTAAATTTACTATTAATAGTGTGTTTGAGTCACGTTATTTTGGAATAGTAGACTGGTGAAGAATGTGTGGTTGAAAAAGAAAAAATTATTGATGTGATGAAAAATATTATTTTATTAAAAAATATGTGATTGAAAATGAGTAAAAAAATGAGAATGAAAATTTTAATGTGATTCAGTCAAGCTAAGACTAAAAGCAATTTCAAAATTACTTTTTGATTGTGAGAAACGAAGGACAAGTGCAGTGTCCCCATAAGCAAGTCAAAGGCGGCGGCTATTGGAGGCTTTTTCTTTTATCATTAATTAAGTAGGACTCGAAGTTCGATTTGGTTACTTCTTGACGCGGAAAATTGAACGAGTAGTTGTCAACTTGATAGTGCTTGATAAGGTAAAGATAATAAAAATAAAAAGAACAATGATTATCTTGTGTCTAATTCACGATCTTCCCCCGTTTTATCCACATTATTATCTCATTAAAATAAAAAATATGACCGTTATCCATCACATCAACATTTAAATTCAAATTTTCTATCTCTTATGTGGGCCCCAATAACGGCTATATTTTTCATTCTCAAATAATTTGGCTCAAACAGGGCCTTA